ACTACTACTATTATTATTAATCAGCTCAAGTTTTGCATTTCCTAACAGTATGATTTACGGCATCACTGAGGACTGTCAGGTGACGAATGTTGCAAGCAGAAATAGCTTTATTGAAAACAACTCCTGTAGGGGCATCCCAGATTAGCTCTCAAGAGAAAATTAATTCTACAGAAATGAAACAAAAATTCAGTTTTTGTAAAACTCCAATGAAGCATATTTTGCAAGAATCTAACTGCACTTCTTTAAATAAGTGGTTGAATGATGGTTTCTGATATCAGATAGAAGAATACTTTTTTGGTATTGTGCATTTGTATATTCCACTTAGGTTGAATTGCACCAGAATACAATACTTAAGACACAGAGAACAACGCGGAATCAAGTATGAAGAGAGCACGAACTCTCAAGACAAATCTAGAGAAATTACTAATGAAAAAGTATGAAGTGAACAATTGAAAATAATTGATTTTTTAGGACAAATTAAGATATTGAAAATTTTCAGTTTGTGCTGTTAATATATTTTGCTGTATCTATATATTAATAAAATGAATTGTTATGGAGACATTCCATTTAATTTTGACATCATCGGATATAGTGAACCAAAACAGAGAGTACACTCTGCCCTCCTTGTAATTATGCTCTCTTAAATATGAGAAGGAAAATATGATCTCTACAGTGTTAATCCCATATGCAATGATTGAGAAACTAAATACTGTTTTAAACACCTCTTTTCAAGTTATCTACGGGTCTTTTGGAAGTGACGCTTAAAACATACATAACACAATATTTGAACATAATATTGAAATTTACTGGCATTTTGGTCCTCCTTGTGAAGCAACTTCCAAAAAGTCGTGGTAATTAATAAACTGATCTTCTTCTGTTAAAGGAGGACTGTGGTGATTTTCTAACAAAACCCATAGAGCCTGCAAAAAAATGTAAACGTTTTATTTACATTAACAAATTTGTTTCTTTTCGGCATGTCATTTAAGTTATATACCTTTAATTCGTTGTTGTTTAGCAATTGCCTTCCTCGTTTCTGTAGAAACATGGCTCGAGCTTCTTCACGTAGTTTTTGTGCCAAAATATCATCTTGCTTTGGCAACTAAAAATTTGTTATTATATTAAGAATACATTTGAAGTATATCACAAAATTAATAGGTTACAGTAGATGAATGCGTGAAATAAAATATTTCTACTTGGAACTTAAGAATGTTCAGAATTTTATACATCTATAATGAGATACCCATTTAACAGGAAGATTATACATGATATTAAATAAAAAGTACAAATATTACTGGCTATTTTTGGTATTAGAAAAAGGTTTTTATGAGATTCTACACAATACCCAACTGCAATCTTCACAGCAGAAACTTAGCCGAAATTCTCGGGAGACCTCATGCAGAATATCCAAATGACAGGCCTCATTGTCAATGGCATCATTTTTGGGGGTCAGTCAGTAACCTCTTTTGGGGGCCCTCCGGTGACGTGCACTGGTAGTACCAGCCTAGCATTGCCCCTAGTTCACAATGTCCTGGCTACACAGATTTCAATTAGAAAGTTAATTTTACACACCTTGTAGAAAAATCTTGGAATTGCTGAATAAGACTTATGTTTCTCTTCACTAAAAGATGATTTTCTTTTTTTATAAAATTCTAAGAACATTTTCGATTCCTTTTCTTCTCTCTCTTCAGGGGTAAATTCATCTAACAAATAATAGGTCAATTACCAAGAATCAATTAATAGAAACCATTGTTTGAATTTAATGGATTGATACCATTAATTATTTTAGAATGCTATTTCAAACATACCTTTCTTCTGAGCTACAAATTTTTGCAGCAAACTTTTTAAGGACATTTCGTTTACCTCTCAATGCTTGCAAAAACCAATAATGACAGTTGGTTCTATGTACATGCCACCACCATAAGAAGGTGAAAATAAAATAATGGTTAGAACTTGTTGCGCTGTAATTTTGAAAATATTTCACAGCTGATTTTTGGACCTCTGACGAGTATTTTTACTCACAGACACTCATTAGTAAATTGTTAACCAAATTCAGTAAATTCATACTCTCTGAGCAAACGGAGATGCGTTGCACTAGTGTCGAAACAGAAAACACCACTGAACACCGCAAACGCCAAATTCACGATCAGATCATAATGCAGTAACTCCTACATGCGCTCCATTTGCTCTTAGGGATAATTATCATTAAAAGACTCAACTAATGTATCATAATGGCAGGGGTATTGGCAACACCTTTTATTCAAATTTATAATACATGCTCTGCATACTACAGGATACTCTTTGCTCTTGATGTTCTCCGAACAAAGATCTTATAAGTATGATCTTTGTCAGAGATCTTTGTCTCCAAGTCAAGAAATCCAAGGAAATGAAAGGAATACAATATTTCATGCAAGCTCTACATTCCATAAAAAAAAATAATTTGACAGCTGTGAGTCGCGGTTAGTCAATCGGAAGCTTTAATTTAAAACAATGAGTCGTAACAAAGCGTTTAATTAAAAAAAACCGCCCCAGCTACTGTCAAATCGCTCTTATTTTATCCGAAAATACTTTATAAATCATCTTTGAAATTTGAATTGCCCAACGCGCGGCAATTGTTTTCGGGTAAGCGGGAACTGGCGGGCGGGAATAACATGTAATGGCCCGAATATTATTGTTTGATATTTGCGAATTAGTACACTGTACATGCGACATCGAGTGTGAATGGTTACTGTGATGCAGGTGGCAATGTCATTGTTTACATGTTCGTTTGTAAACGTGCTAAAGCATGCATGTAAGGTCGATTAATTTTTTAGGATTTCATTCATTATGATTGATGATTTCGATATTTCAAGGCATTAAAAGTGATCTCCAAATGAATATAATAATTATTCAAAATCAATTTTCCTTGTGTTATTTTTCTTTATAGAAATAAACAAAATGAACGTTGAAGAGGATGGTATGTATTTTATTTTGATAATTTTGTTTGATTTTCATTTTCACTATATGGGCAAAAATGCTAAGGACATGATATCATCATTCTGTCCACCTAAAATATATTAATGATATTTTCACTAATTTTAATATACTTATAATTTTGTTTTTTTCAGTTGATTGTGTTGTCTGGTTTAACTGTCTGGGAGAAGATAATTTGAAAGATAATAGGTTAGGGAACAGTTTTTTGAAAAATGATGGTATCCGACTCTTGTTTGATCAAGATGTTGGTAAATGTTTGTATCGAGTCAGATTATTTGGAAGGACATATAACAGAGATTGCCCTTTACTAGAAGATAATATTTTTCATTGGTGCCTGTAAGTATTCTTCATTTGTAAGTAAGCTGGTGTTTCTGGTGGCTGAAACATGTTGATAAACTGTGAAAAACTGGCAATTCTCAATAATTTGAAATATAGGCATTTAAATTGTAATTCCCTTTAATAAATAAGATGCTGGTTTTAGCATGAAAATTTAGATTTTAAAATATTGATATTTTTTATTTATTTTTTGTGTGTGTTAGATGATGAAATTTTGAAAAACATTTTAAAAAAGCACTATTGATAATATGACTATGTCCATGTTTTCTCTGGTATAAGATGAACTAAGTACTTTTATTATTAATTAAAAATCTCTGATAATCCTTTTCTTTCCAATTTGAAAAAAACTTAAATCATTATTAATAGACTTTTAATCTTAATAGATTTAACATTCAATTTTAATTTTCAATTAAATTCTTCAGACTTCTCCAAAGCCTAATTCAAAATTTGGTTCTGAAGCATTATCCTATTGCTCATAATTGTATTGAAAATGTGTGTGTGATTCATGATAACTCAGGAATTAAAGCAGTTCTGCAGTTTCATTCAATCCTTTTTTGTAGCAGTACTGGCATTTTACTGTTGTAGAGTGATTTTATTTCAGGAAGACCTCATTTTGTAATATTTATAACCTCATTACGCAAGGGAGAATTGTAAATAATACATGATTTGATAATATGCTGCTTTTTATCCTGAAATCATTTTATTTTAAACCAGTAAACCTTCCTCTAGACACATGTGGCTTCATAGATGGATTGTGAACATGGTTTTTAGGATCTAGTCAAACATGAACAGGTCTACCCAGTATGACCCTTTCTGACAATGAAAATAAAACATGTCATTTTTTCAAGAAATTGGCAGCAGTCTTCACACTGCCTGTTTTTTCAGTACGCTGATTGTATTTAGGATTGATATTGTCAATTAATTTGACTACCAAAAATCTATGAGTATCCTCTCTGTGCCATTTAAACTTTTTTCTAAGAATTTCTAATATTCTAATCTAATTTACACTGGCAGAAAAAAGTATTGCAACACCCCGATTGCATTATACAATTTATTCCTCCGTACAGATACAGCACATACTGACAATACTGCACATGATCACATGGACAAAGCCAAGTGATACGTGAAGTCGTAGGCTTCCGCGACCAGACCACCTCATACCAGCCCTGAGGAAGACCACGACAGGATGGTCGAAACGTCGGCAACTCAGCCTTCGACGCGGCGTCACCCGGACAGCCCAGATCACCCAAGTGATACGTGCACCTCCAGCAACAGAAAGAACCATGGACCAGGAACGCACATCAATACTGTGTGTACCCGCCGCGGGTAGTATTACGTATACAGCAAACTGGCATATCAAACTGGAATAGTGTCTTGCAGTACACTGTTCAACACCTTATGCGTTATGCAGAGCAGGCAGAGTTGTTGGAGTCCGGCGAGCGTGCCGGCCATGGCAGTTGACGAGTTGAGAGCGTTTTGCTAAGCGTGGGCAGTGAGAGGGCGGGTGTTTCCTGCTGGAACAGCGCACCACCCTAGACACCCCGTATGCACGCGCTCGTCTGTGCGACGCTGCACACGACCATCACTGGCATAGAAGCGGCTCTCATCACTGAACACCACTGCACGCCATTCCGTCTCCCAGCCGACCCGCACATTGCAGCACGCCAGACGTGCACGACGATGGTTCGGCGTGAGTGGCCATCGGGCTAGCGGTGTGCGCGATTGTAATCCTGGTTCCCAACGGTGCATGGAGACACGGGGGCCAAATGTAGCCGTATTTCTGCACGGGTGGTCGTAAGGGTCTCCAACGCCGCCGTCAAGTTGCGGCGAACTTGTCGTTCGTCAGTGCTCCACGGTCGCCCCGAAGTCGGTCTTCATCAACGGGAGTGCTCTTTTAACCATCGTCGCCAGCACCGATGTCGCCTCGCCCTACGTGGTCAGCATTGCGCCGAAAGGACCAACAGGTTCCGCTCAAACTGGTCTAATTGCTTAAAGGACGAACGCTTGCGACGCCGTGGCATACCTAAGTCCCGGCTAAACAATATCGCCCGTAGCTTTGCAGCGCAGTTCTGTGTGGCCGCGATGTGCAATGCCGCCACACTTCCCTGCTATGACACCATTCCTATCCTTTCGGACATCTATGGCTGATCTGTATAATAGGAAAAAAACAAAGGTCAGGAAAGACAATAGCCGTTCGGCGCGCTTTTGGCGTTGTTTACCGCAATTTTCATGCAAGTATTGGCGTTTCGCCCACTTTAGCATATCTCTCCGGCGCTTAGGTAAACCATACCGCAGTGGACAGCGCCTTTTAAAGCCGCGGAGTTCATGGTGCGTCCGGGTCATTTCGTCACTGGGCGTCAGTCATCCGAGAAATGTTAATCATCCTCCATTCCCAATGTTCCATGTCGCCTACTTCGTTGCTCGTGCCCTTCCCGTTGTTGCAATACTTTTTTTCCGCCAATGTATATCTGGTGTCTTTTTGGACTCCAAACTTTACTGACTACTGGAAGTGGTAAACACTAATGTTTACGGCAATATAATGAGTGTAAATAATTTACTATATAAGAATATGTATTATAAGTTATTTTAAATAACGTAATAAGTGTAATTTATTCATATTAAATATTAAATGTAAAGGAAAACCTCCACCATATGTAGCTTCCATTGTGAACAAATAATACTTCAGAAATATTTACAAAAGTTTGTGACAAGTATGGGGGGCAGTTCTGTTCTGTGAAGACAGTTATGAGGAGAAATGTTGGGGAAATTAGGGTCCAAGGAAGTTGGGACCTAAATTATGTTTTGAGTTGTGTTTTACAAAATTAGATCTATGTGAATTTTCTATTCGATTTTTGGTGAACAATCTGTTTTAGGTGCTCTGGTTCCATAGAATTGCAGGACAGTGAAAAGTGCAGAAACATTAAATTATGTAAAATTAAATTAAAGGAAAAAATGGAAATGATATTTTATGATAAAGTTAAAGTTACTGTTTAATTTTCGGTACAATTTAATTTCAACACGTAGCAATATTAAAATCGTTACTCGTGTACTTATGACTTGTAATGCTATACCACTCAGTTTACAGGCTGGCTTTTCGAAGTTAGTTTCTACTATGAAGTAATTTTCACTTTTCAAACAACTTTTATTTACAAAGCGTGGAGTTTTCACAGGAGTCCAGCTACTGAATTATAATCTGGAAATGGTATTTTGAAAATTATCAGCATTAATTTTGTAAGCAAAAGCATGTGTAAACACGTGAGGGCTGGTGTGTGTGCGCGGGAATATAAGTGTATTTCACTTAAAATATTAGGTATTTGGAGATTAGTGATCATTCAGTTACTAAGGTCATGAAGCCGATGAATGATGTATTACAGTCCCAAAGAGTGTGGCGCAAGTAATATAATACGAAAAGGAGAAACACATTAATCTTTAAGACTTAAGACTTCACAATAGAATCACCAGCTGATGAATTAGAAATGATCTATCAATTATTGTAAACTTTTTGTAATTTGATGGAAATTTTGGATTTATACAATTCACCCCAATGTTCCTTATGATGAGTGTGCTGCAAGCCAAATAGATTTGAGAGCCACTGTTCTAATCAGTAGATGGCAGAGATAATGAGGAGACACTGGGAAAAAAGAGAACAGGTCGCAGAAAAATCCCAAGAAATCATTTCAAGAGCTCACCTGGTCCTCCACTAGTTTTCTCTTGGATTGGCCAGATATCAAATCTGGTTTCTTGCAGTTGAAGGGTGTGCACTAATCATTTTGCCAAAATTTTCTTGTGTAGTTTTATCAAGATGTATGTACTTTATAATGTAAGTGAAATAATAATAGTAATTTTCCAATTTGCATAGTAAATTACATATCCTCACTCTGTCCCTGATGCCATCTTTGCTTGCTCTGTCTACCTCTCATCGTGATCTTGCCTTCCCTATCCCGCCTGCATGCATTTGTGGGTTGAGTACTAAATTTGAAATACTTAGTGTGGATTGGTAACCTCCACTCTAATTAGAATGTGGATAGACTGTCCCAATTTTTTGTTTTGCTCCTTCCGTTCTTTCTTTTTTTCTTTTCCTTTGTTTTTCTTATTCTCCTTATCCATATTGTCAGGAATATGTATACCATGTTAGGTTAAAAACATGTGATGTAAACATGTATGTACCAATGCAATAGATTGTGTTGAGTTACTTTCAAAAGTAGCCTGGAAAGTAACCATGCGTCAACTGTAAGTAAACCATTACACATTCTCAATCCCAAGCATTCGCTCAAAAAAATTGATATAATATTCCAATGTGGAGAATGTGTAACCTTATAGAAGACAATGGAATCCCTTTTATTTCCGATAAAACTATTGTAAAACTAATTAAAAATTTACTGACTGACTTTGGTGTTTCTAGGTTGTGTCTCATTGTATCTTTATTTTCTTTTTGTATCATCTTTGTAACTTTTGTACTATGTATTAATTAAAGCTATAAATAAAGTTATAATGTTAAAGTGATTACATGAATGTTATATTTTTGATTTATTCTTTTTAACTAATTATTCTTTTACAGAAAAAAATACCTCAGTATTTATCACAATGCCACAAGAATGAATAAGAGAGTATATGATCCAGGAGATAATGAATGTAAAAATAAAAATTATAGCCACTTGAGAAAAGAAATATGTGAATTAATGAATTATATTTGTAGTTTCCTAGCAAAGTAAGTATTCAATTTTTTTTATGTACAAATGCTTAAAAATGTGAAAGAATGCATGATTTATTCTCTTTGAATTGATATGTATTGAGTATTTGAGTTGAAAATTGAGTATTTATTATTGAGTATTTGCACCTGCAAATGGGGTAATTGATCTGTAGACGATCAATCAATTTGTTTCTCATTGGATAACACTAATTTTTCTAAATCTTCATACTTATATATGCTTGAAATGAAACTACAATGTTCATTATGTATATAGTTTATATTAATGGCTTATAATTGATTATTATCAATTGTAAACATTAGTGTATACAGTATGTAAAATGTATTTAAAAAATAAAAAAATGTCTTTGCAGAAAAGAAACAATAATTAGTATGATTGCAGAAGTTTCAAATGGATTTTGTAATAACATATTAATAATTAAAGAAACAAAAACTATTTTAATGCATTATCGTGTGTCAAACAGCAATCACATGCTCTATTAGAAATGAACCATTTTATGATGCCATTACCTGATGTTGAAGTAACCAAATTTCTGGACTTATCAATTCAATCAAACCTCAAATAGTATATCCATATAATTTAACTTAAACAGTAAATTAGGGAGTTTTTGCGCTCTCGACCGTTAAAGCAATCAAAAGTACTATCAATCTTCTGTGCATACTCACTTCAAGTTTCGCATCACTTTCATGCACCTGCAAATACACGGAAGATAAGAGATTGTAGTCGATTGCTGCCCTCTAAAAGAGTGCATGAACTCCCTATAAAGGTCATTACGATGTGCATTCAGAATTCTTTCAAATCCTCTCAACCTTATTCTGGAGAAGTTCATCATAAAGTTTCCAAACTTAGATTGCAGGAAAAAAGTATATGCATAAAAAGCAAATGCCATCCACATAATTCCCACAAGCCTCTCTTCATTGTTCATGGAATCTTACCATTGCCTTGCCTATTTATTTCATTTTTCAAATAGGCAATCGTCCAATGCAAGATTATTACGTATACCAACATGTATATTATATTGTTTTTAATTTTTTGTCAAAAATGACTTAACAGTGGGAACATATTTTCATGCAATACTGATTTTTACTTTCCCGTATACGTATGTATATAAGGAGGAATATACGTAGTATAGGAAAAATTGGGTAATGCTGAGGAAAATCGATTTCGAGATTTCAATAGAAATACACGTTCAGGTCACTCTGATGTTGTTTTGTTTTTTGTTTCCCCAAAACGTGTCTGTCTGTTGTATGTGAAAAACACTAGCGCCTTAACCATGCGAAGGATTTTTCCCAAATTGAAGAAATCCTAGTCCGTTTAGCCTGAGTTGAAGCTTGTGGTTTTGAAAATCATTCATTAGTTTTTCGAGGTACTTTACATGGAACCTCTTGGACATTTTCAAAATTTTCTCAAAAATGCTCTCTCTCTCTCCTCTCTCTCTCTCTCCTCTCTCTCTCTCTCTCTCATCTCTCCTCTCTCTCTTCTTCTCTCTCTTCCTCTTCTTTCTCTCCTCTCTCTCTCCTCTCTCTCCTTCTCCTCTCCTCTCACTTGCTGTAGCGCTTAAGCTCTATTTTCTTTAAAGTGACTCCAAATTTTTCTAAGAAAATTGCCCCTTAGGACAAGGTTTTATTGTTTTTTAATATTCTTAAAATAATATTTCCGTTCTAATATTAGGAAATCGAAAAATTAAGAAAATTTTTAAAAAATGTTTATTGAAAATTTAAAGATATACTTCAGCTTCTTTGTTAATGGTCTCCATCTTGATCAAGGTTTTGTTCAGTTTCCCTGATCCATTGATTGAAGGCTGTCTTGTTTTGCTTCTGGATGTAAACATACCTTCACTATGCACCTGTTTAGATGAGCTCTCATTTTACTAGTTGTGGTAGGAACACAGCTGGGGATATGTGTTACTGTTTTCTTCGCAATACTAAAATATCAGATCTGTATTTTGTTTATTGATGCAAGTTTTCTATAACTCGGGAGGGAAAATACCTAGTTTTTAAAATTTTGCTAACCTCTTATATTTGGAACTTTTGTTCGTCATATTGTTAAATGGTGGGGAAGAGATTCTGGAGCTCAAGGAAGTATGCACAGATTATACTTCTCCCCAATGTATCGATCATACCTCGCATACAGTTTTTACTGTTACTTGACAAAATAAATCAAATCAGATTGTTTTTAGGCCCATTATAAGTAGAATGATTTACTCATAAATGATTGTACTTTTAAATGAAAGGTGCAGAAGCTATTGAAAATGTGCTATATTGTAAGTTTAGTTTATTTTGTTATGATTAGGGTTATTCTCAAGTTGCTACACTACTAAAAATAAAATACAAAATCACAAAAAGGGAAGATTTTTAAACGTCCAGCACTTTTGCCTGCATTATTTGGTGGTTGTATTTATCGGAATCTCTTCCGCCTATTCTCTCTGTTTTAATAAAAAGTTTCTTTGATATTGCAGCCCCTGGAACGAAGAGTCCTTTTGGTTATGTAATACAAAGACGTTAAACTCTCTACATAATCAACTTTCTTCATTTTGGGCACATGTAAAAAAGTTATCTGATCTATCTGAATTTACTTTCTATTCAGGCAGTGTTATGGATAATGAGGTAATATTAAATTTTATAAATCTATGATTACACATATGTCTGTCTGTGATGCATCTTGTCTTTAATACATCTTTGATTCCGTATTAGCCATGTTTTGATTGGAGAAAGTGATAAAAATAAATAGCATGAAAATATCTAATATACTAATTGTTTTTATGTTGTAGACTACAAATTCACATATCATTTCTACACGTCAAATATACTTAAATGCTAATAAAAAATAGTCTGTAATTTTGCCTTTGAATTTGGATTTCTTTTCTGAAAATACAGTTGTTTTGAATATATATTTTTTAAATAGCCATTTTTTTAATAGATGTAGCAGCTTTCCGAATACACCAAGAACTCATTGGAAAATTAAAGATTTCACCAAATGATTTTCAAATCTGTTCTTATACAGTGAAACTTCTTAAAAAAATTTTTCATATCATATTGTTCTCTATGTTACACCAATGTTTTCCAATCCCGACCAAGAGCCTGTATACAGTCTTCCTCTTTATAGTTTATGTTTTCCTCTACACAATGTTCAGAATTCATGGTCACTTAAAATACATTATATAGAGGTTTCACTGTATTCTACCAATTCTAATCATGAAACTGTTAAAAATAATTATCAGTTTCCTATGTTAAATGTTTTGTACAGTTCACAATTTTTTTTTAAATGATGTTACTTTTCTATTATTTTCTTTTTTGCAGTGTCCTCATGCTTCATTTCATTTGGTGCATCTTAGTTTAGATCTATTGTGGTATCGACTTTGTATACTCTATCGTTTGGAGCAACTAGTAAAACTTGATGAATTGCAAGGTGTTTCTTATGATGTTCATGAAGAAATGAAGCAGTACATTCAGTTAATCTTTGAAGATTTATTTACACTTGCCATTTCGAGGTTTGAAAAGGTGCTTTTCCATCTCTTTCTTGAAATATTACATGTGTACAATGCATTATACTATACATTATACATATTGAAAATAAATTAATTAAATTTATTTTAGCTTTCACCAAAGGAAATTAAAAAAAAATCTCCATTTCGATGTACATGTGTGAAGGAAATGTGGCTTCTAATTCAGCTGTTTGTTGACAAGCATAACAATACATCTCATCAAAACGTGAGTGTTAAAGTCTCTGGAATATTTACTATACTTAATTACACATAAATATTCATAACATTAATTACTGCTAGTAATTATTCTGAGAAAGCTGTAATAAATGCTAGTATTAACTGTATCTTTTACATTAGTTTATATATTTTGAATTTTCAGAAGTAATATCCCAGCAAAAATACTTTTACTTCTTTCATGAGAAAGATAAATATTATGTTTATTATGATTACTGTTATTGCTTTTTAAGGAACCAGATTTCATTTCAAGTGCATATTTTCTCCTGTAATTAGAAAGTACATCATACATTTGCAAATTGTTCATTATTCTGCATATTTTGCATGAAAATCTTTATTGTTATTCATGTTTATTTTAATACTTTTAATTTTGTAAGGTGTGATTTTGTAAACTTGGCTCATTGAAGCTGATAACAATTTCCTTTATGTGAATTATGCTTGATGTTTAACAGAAAAACCAAGATCATATCAAGCATTAGGTGCTTTCGAATCTATCTTCAAAATCGGTAATGTTGATTTAACTTACGTGTCCTGAATTCCCACTAGACACAGAGGAGACTTTACAAATTTGAGGAAACAGAATTTGAGAAAGAAAGGGACAGAGGAGCAGGTGTATCAAGCTTCTACAGTCACTTAATGACATTTAAAATGTGAACAAATTGCAGTTAATGGAAATATTGATAATGTGGGATACAAGGACAAAAATTACATTTTTCTAATTTCTAATAAAACAAAAGAAAACAGCAAAATGGCATTAAAGTCATCTTATATCATACATTTAGCACTTCCCTACCAAAAGTTTAAAGAAAAATTTGGTGTCATTTTTGAGAAATTCTGGTGTTGGTTATTTTTTAATATTGTACATTTTACATAATACTGGGCAAAAACTCAGATTTTCTAAGAAAAATTTACATGATATTGATGAAAGAAGGACCTATGGAAAGCAAATTTCATTTCAAGGAAAAAGCTGTCTTCAATGTTGTAATTATAGGAAAAAGCTGGAAAATTTTCACTTTTGGCGTTTTTGATAATTTAGAGTTAACAGTTAAATTTCGATCTGTACCATCTTTATAAGTGTATTTCATTCTAATATAACCAGAAATTTAAAGAAAAAATTTGGAGCTATTTATGAGAAAATTTTGAAAATGTCGCAGGAGCTTCATGTAATATGTCCGCAAAAATTAATGAATGTTCTTCAAAATGGCAGAGCTTCTAATGTGGCCAGATCGACAGGGATTTATTCAGTTTGGAAGAAACGCTATGCAGAGTTCAGATGCAAGTGTTCATAGGCGACAGACAGATGGATGGACAGTTTGAAAAAACACTTTTTCAGAAACAGGGGACTCCAAAACATGTATTTCTATTGAAATCATGTAAATGATTTTCCACAGCAATACATAACTTTCTCTTTACTACATATATTACTGTGTATATATGTATGTATACTAGAAAGTAGAATTGGGTGCAAGCAAATCAACGTATTAGGAAAATTTGTTCTCATTTATTACTATTTATTTATTACTCCAAAATTAAATTTATTGCTGTTGTCATTTATAAATAATCCTCTACAGGCATGACAATCAAACTGGAATAGTGGGAATTCTGATGTGGTTTTGTTTGTGTATTTACATGAAGAAATAAAAGATGTCATCTCTTACAACTTGATATGTTTATTTAGAGAGCTGGCTTTCGACAGCTTCGCTGACATCAGTCTACAAATATAAACAAAATAAAATATAAATGTAAATACAAGTACAAATACCAAGTAAATACAAAATAAGACAAAGTTGGTTTTAAATAATTAGCAAATTAAATTCCAAAGTATGAAATGCAAGGGGGGATATTAATATAGAGACTAGTAGAAAATGAAATTACAAAAGCAAATAAAGAAATACACATGAAATTGCAATAGATACAACAAAAGAAGGGGGATAGTTATAATAATTAAGACCAATTGCAAATGATATCACATAAAGTGGAAAAATATAAGTTTATTAGCTTTGCTTACCTTACTGTTGTGGCATAAGTTGGGAGACAGTGCCCAGAGAGAACGTGACACAAGACTTATAGCTTTATAGCTTTCTGCAGATCCATGAGGGGTCGGAGGAGGTCTGTTTTTGTCTCCTTGGATTGTCAAAGAATCTGTCATAAAATTAAGAGCAGAGGAGACAGGAAAATTAGTTTGATCATTGAGAAGAACTTCAGATTTCTGCTTGGCATGAAAAATGTGAAAGATATCTAAACCGCTATGTAGCAAAGTGTAATGTGTTTGTATTGTGTTTCCATGCATGTAAATGTTCTTTACCTCTGGCACTGAAGTTTGTGCCCATCTGGCCTATGTGTTTTGCTTCGCAATTGTGGCAATGGGGCTCATAAACTCCTGACTTCACCATGAGGGGGGGGGGAGTGAGAGCAAGTAATGGAGGGGTTCGTGAAGATTCTGAACTACCTTTTGTGATGGTGTTCCAAAGAACGGAACAAAAATAAATTTTGGTGGTTTGTGGGCGAGGGGAGCAAGACTTGTGTACGTTTTCAGTTTTTTTCTTATTTAATTTGTGGCGTAGTATGTTATCAATGAGAGTATCCATTAGTGGTAGCTACATATTTAATGGTATGAGTTAGTTGACTAGTTTGTGAATCATGGCCTCGGTGAAGAAAGCCAAGTTTTTGTGAGGAAATGGATGTTGAGATGTGTTGTGGATGACAGTGTGTGTGTGGGTTTTCTAATAACATAGATGTGTTTTTTATCTACCCTAGAGATGAGTAGGTCTAAGAAATAACTAATAGATTTTTTGTTTTCTAGTTTCTAGGTGAATTTTATAGATTTGTGTCTGGAGTGGAGAAAGTCGACGAAGAGGTTGCGTTGTCTTAGTCGACGAAGAGGTTGCGCTGGTTCATAGAACTAAAAATGTCATTGACATAGCAGTACCAATACATTAAATTTTATAGAAGGGGATGTTGTGTCTCAAATAAGAGTAATTCAAAACCTTGCATTTCATATTTTGTTGATTTGATAATTAGTGTTAATTTAAATGCATCTATTATTTATATTAATTTGTCTTATTTTATATTTACTTAGTATTTTGTTTATATTTGTAGACTGATGATGTTAGTAAAGCTGGCCCTGTAAAGAAACATATTAAGTTGACAGAGATGACGTCTTTTATTTCTTCAATCTACATGGCAAACCCAAATTTAAACCACTGGTGCTGCAACAACACATACTTTCTCACATTATTTGTAATGGCTTCTCAGCTTACATGAACGTATAATAAATGTATTTCATCCTGGAAAAATTATTTTTCCATGCTGAGACTCTGCTCTCTGGTTCATTACATTTTCTCACTGAGGGCTTTATTACCAGATTATGCAGTCGCTCTGCCATACTCACTTGCACTGACAATTAAAAATCGTATTGTCTCCCCGATTATTTTCAACACACAATTTCTGAAAAATGCAGAGTTAAATGAAAATCAGACCTGTTCCATTCTTTTCAGCAACCTTATTTTAAATGTGTAAAAATTTAAAAAACGGCAGGAGCATTTGAAAATTTAGGAAGTTGAACGAAGTTGATACCTGCACCATTCTTTCATGTGTCTTTCATGCGTTATGAGGACAAAGTTTAATCAAAACATTTGGAGATCTTATTGAAAAATGTTCAAAATGTTGAGTTGCTTGGTAAAATAACCCCCGAAAATCAAAATGCCCATTCCAAGTTCAGAGACTCTTGAGTTCATTTAATTCAGTCACGAAATATAAATTTTGAAAAAAATTGACTGAACAGTTTAGGCACGCTAACATTGATCTGAGGCAGATAGATAGACAATCAATTTTTCAATAATCTTCAATCAATTTCTGTATCAAAAACGTTGGAGTAGTTGGTAAAGTTGCTCAGTAGTTCCATGGTTTCTCTTATCAACACCAGGCGAATGCCAGAGCAGTACCATAACAAATGAACCAAGGTCTGCAAGCAATGTTTCCTTTCTCTTCCTTTTTGTCCCATTCTCACCCCTTTACTTACCCTTACACTTCTATCCACTACACTTCCACATGTACTGGGAGACCAGTTGGGACCATATGTATGCGAGGGAGAGAGAATTTAAAAATGCATAAATTTGTTAACATATATATTTTTCACGAAACCATAAAAAAATAATTAAAATCATATTAAAATAAGAACATTTCGTATGATTGGATTACTAAAGGTTTTAGCTATTGTAAATGACGATGAGGAAATTATTATTTTTTTATTTTTTCAGGAATTCTGGTCCCTTTTAAATACTTTGTGTACAAGATTACTACATTCGTCATCAAATGACGTTCAGAAGAAAGGAGTGTTTAATAACCTAACCTGTACAAATCCAGTTTTGTTCAGTTTTTGGATTCTTTTCCATTTAGGGCAGTTGTATATGTATGGTGAAAGAGGAGAGTACATGGGTTCATCTAGTAGCAGAGTAAGTTCTTTAATAACAAATTTGCCTTCATTAATGAATTATTTGAAACTGTTTGGCTTAAGTATTCATAGAAGTACACTGGTAAATAATTTACAGAATAATGTAAGGTATCTTTTAATTAAAGATTTAAAGATTAATCACCTTTTATAATTGTCATATATTCTCCATTAAAATAGGAAGTATTAAAATAAAGTACAGGGTCTTTAAAAGATTGATTTTGGAGGTTTTCACCTCTCTGCCAGGGTCTTAAACTCATCACAGTTATCAATCATTGTTTTTTCACATACATATGTAATAATCTGCTACTTCCCTGTTCATTCTGTACTGGCTGTCTGCATTAAGGTTCCTTTTGAAGTGTACAGTCCATTCTTCTTTTTTTATTGTTATAATACTGTAATTAAACATAATTTATTAATATACACATAATGTATGTTATTCAATAACGCCCATAAACATATAAAGTTAGAGTTTAGATGTTTAAATATCCAGAATTTGTATTTTTTACAAAATTTGCCCAATTTTAATTTTAGTTGGTATGTTGAAATTATTTTTAACCTATACATTGAAATATTTTCTCAAAATTTCTTTCTTAACTTTTGAATTTATTTTTTTTTGCTATCTTTTTTTTGTTGCTGAACATTTCATGCATAATGAAATTGTTTCTTCTTAAGTAGAGCAAGCATACCATTTTTTTATTAAGCTCACCCAATTCTTTGCCATTATGCAATGTGTTGTGTACCTGTTTCCATACAGATGGCAAAACAACTTACAAAAACTTCCAATTTCAACAGCAACAAATTTCATCAAATGAAGTACAAAGCTATGTATATTCCGTATGAGTAAACTTCAACCGCATTTCTTTGATTTTCCTTTTTTACCATCATTGTTACAAAATGATTTTTTGTAGTCCTCTTTTTATTAACCCATTAACGTCAGCATAATTTTGTGTGCATAACGATGGCTCATTGTCGCCATGTCTATGCTGACCCATTGTCACCATATCCATGCTTGCCCATAGTTGAGTCTCTTTGATAGTATGTATTTGCAACGTAAAAAGACTGTGGGCATTGCATAACTGTAGCTTGCTAGTATGCCTAGTAGCAATTTAGGACTTCAAATTTTTAATCATTCTTTGTAAAATTTACTCTAAATTGTATTTTTGATTTAAATCTATGATTTTTTTATGTGTAATGTAATCATAATTTAAATCAATGATATAAATTACTTGATTTAAATCATCAATACCCAGATAAAAAACAAACAATAACTACCCATGACATAGAAAGGGACACTTGTTTATTTTGTTGTGATATTTAATTTTGACACAATATATTATTGATGTAATCATTAGTAAGCACATTTTATAAGTATGAGTACTAACCAAGAGGGGAAAATATCTTCCCAGCAATGAAATAATGCTGTTATAAGATAGTGTTTGCTACACCCAAGAGATCATAAAAATCAACAATGGAAAAATCTTAATTATTACTGTCAAAGAAAAATCTTAATTATTACCGTCAAGTGTCAAACCATTTAGACACAGTTAAAACACAGTTATCACTAAGCTCCTTCATACTGGAATGAAATAATGAAAGGAACACTTGTCTCATATGCATCAATGTGTTAAAGGGTTTAATATTGTGACTCCAGTTTTCATGTATTATTTACCTTTGCGTGTAAGATATCCTAAACCTTAGTTACATCACTTCATTTTTCCATACACAAGCCACTACTGATCTTGATAATGTGAATTTAACACAGTTGTATTGATATTGAAAATTTTTAGTTCTTGCTTTTTATCTTTCAGTTCATTTTATGTTTTACTAACAAAGTTTGATTCAAACCTTTTCATTTTGTTGCAGATGGTTAGCAATTACACATTATTGGATGAACTACTAAAATTTCTACTTTCTGTAGATATAGTGTCTGAAGCTCAACTTCGTTCATGCATTCCATTTATAACAGATATTGTAATAGATTTGTGGCCTCCTAAGAGAGACCCCGTATGTAAACTGTGGGAACATTTCCATCATCGCCTTAATGGTTGCTTTTTTCTACCTGGTGCATCAACTGACACAATTGCTATTCCTTGGTAATATTCAACATTTTTTAATATTATTTCCCTTTAAGTTCAAAGATGACAGCAATGTTGATAGTTTGATGAGTTTTCGTTATGTTTTCATTCAATTTCAGATTTTTGTAATTTTATTAGTATTAAATTCATATTGAGATTCAAATAGATTTAGATCCGAGTATAATTTTAAGAGATAATGTCTGTAGAAGTTAAGTTACGTATATCTTAGAATTGAACATACTATTCTTTATAGCCCATTAGCTCATGAATGACCATCATCTTTAGTTCTTAACATGTCTTCAACTTCTGTTGATTCTTTATTTTGCACAATTCTAGAAATATGTAATTTTATTAACTTGATCCGTTGTGAATAAATTAATCCAATTGTGGAGAATATTTAGTTTACACCGAAAGTTAATTTTTGTGGTCCCACATCTCTGCTTCTCTTAAATGTGTTCTGAGGAAAAAATAAATAAATAAAATAAGAGCTGAGCCAAATTTCAAATATAAAATCTCTAAAATATTTCACTGAATTCCATTAATTCTTGTCGTAGACTTAATTTTATTTGATTTTGAATGCAAAGGAGGAGTTTGAAAACAATCCATTTTGCATTCTAATGTATGCACATGTAAGTAAAATATATTTAGTGTAAAAGGTTAAGTAAGAAATATTTATTTTGTACCGAAGTAGCAACAAGCTGATATACGCATCTCATAAAAATTGTTGACAAAGTTTTTATGTAATTATTTTTAGAATGATCTAATTTTGTAACACAGTTTGATGAAATCATAATAAATTAAATCATATATACTGCACTAGAATCTCAGTTTGATTAATAATAGTTATCTAGTCAGGATTTGACTCTAAAGTATTTTTCTCTACACAATCCCCTGGGAGAGCAGTTCTTTGTTCACAATTTGATTAGGGATAAAATGTGTCCGTGTTCCAGTTTTGTTCACTTCTTTATCAGCTTTGCTGAATGATTACAAAGTCTGGGTCATAGCTGGCCAAAGATCCATAGCTGGTTTAAATAATGTGACAAGGATGAGACATCATGCAACTTATTTAGTCATTTATAGCTCTATTATCAATCCCTTCTCTCCTCTTCTTTAGGGTGAACAATGCAAATTTTTAGCATCTTTCATAGTATTGTGGATTTTTAATAGAAGTTTGAATCTTAGTTGCCACCCTCTGTATTCTTTCTAGGTTTTCTTGACTTTCTTGAAATATAGGGACCACACTACACTGCCATTTTCAATCATCAGTCATATTAATGTAGAGAAAATCTTTGTAGCTTCTGATGAGTTAAAGATTGAAAAGGCCTTTCTCATCAGGTACAGTGATGTGTTTGCTTTCTTTGTTACATTGTTAATTTGACATTCCCATTTAAGATTTTGGGTTATAACCACACCCAAATCACTTTGTTAGGTCTCCACCAAATGTGTCCTATTCATGAAATATGCTATTTTGGGGCAATTTTTTCCAATATATAAAATTACACATTTATCTAGGTTCAGAGGGAGCAACTAAGTTTTAGACCAGTTTACCACTATTTCAAGATCTTTTCGCAACTCTGCGATGTCAAAGAATGGGCAAAGAGTTCTAAGAAAGAAAATTCTATTTGACAAAAATTATCTTATCTACGCAAAAAAAATTTCCTTTGTATTCTCAAGGAATGCAGCTTTTGCAACAATGTTGGTGTGGCTCCTTCTCAAAAGCCTGAGCAAAATCCAAATACACCAAATCCATAGGTTGGTCTACATATACAGCTTGGGTCTAAACATCCAATGATGCTAGTAAATTGGTGACTGTAGACAATCCTTGTATGAAACGATACTGTTGCTGTGGGTTTATGTCAATTCGTTTAGCATTGTCTTGAATCCTTGCAGCAATCACGGTTTCCATTTGCCTACCTTGCATACCACACTGATGAGACTTATGGGCCTGTAGTTACTTCAATTTTGTTTATCTCCTTTTTTTAAAATCAGCGTGACATAAGCCTTTTTCCTAAATATTGGGTAGTGTGTGGTTATTGAGAAATTGTTTGAAGATCAAGTTTAGCTCACAATCTAGCACACTTTTTTAGAAGAATTGACAGGATTCCATCAGGATCCAAAGCAGAATCACCTATTAAACTATAAAAAATCTGATCAATTTCAATATTATTGAAGGAAATATCTTTAAGAGTTCAGTGTATCTCCTTTCAGTTGATTGTAGTCAGTTCAGCATTTTAGTTAGGAACAAACTTCTTCTAAGTAATCTGCAAAACATTCTGCAAATTCATGTAAATCAGTGCAAGTGACTGCATTAATCAAGTTTGTTTGGAGGTTTAGATTTACATGCTGTTTGTCTCCTAATATATGAGTAGAATTTATTGCTGCTAGTTTATACCACTTGTTTTTCATATTTTTCCCTCTGTTTATGCTAGTCAGAAGTGAGACTGATTGAAATATCTATGTGAAATCAATTCCAAACAAAAACCAAACCGAACTTCCTTTCCTTCCAAACCGAATTTCTTAACCCTTCTTTGGGCATGTCATTGTTTGGTACACAGGCATGCAGGGTAGACCCATTATACTTTTTTGTTTTCTAGAACATTCAATGGGTCTTCAGAGAAAATTTATTATCTATGTTGTCTGAGGAATTGTTAGGATGATATTTATTGAGAAATCAATTTCCGTTTTTATTGTGTATATTGTGAATGATTCGTTTTACATAATGCTGTGGAAGAAAACAATGTTATGTAAATCAATACTTAACAATAGGACCTAATTATTTCTCGGACTTAATGGCTAATATTAGCAGTGATATTTACATTAACATTTTGGCTGCCTTGAGAAGCATAATGTAATGCTCATTGAATTGATGAGTGGCCTTGAGCATTAACAGTTGATTCTCAGTCATGATGAGTTTCAATAGCTGTGAAAGGAGCATTTGATAAAAACATTTTGAATAATTCGTAAGGTCCTTTATTGAAATATTTACTGTGTATTTCTTTGCCAGTACACATCTCATTGACAGTAGAAACTTTTAGATTTGAACCACAACAGTTTGCCATTATCAACTTGTTCATTTTCACTGCTTACATCCTCAATTTCTTGTATATTTCTTTGAATAATATCATTTATTGTATCCAATACCTGATTGCATTGATCTCTACATGCAGTAAAAGTTGATGGCATGTTCAAAAATTTTGAATTTTTTAGAACTTGTTTGTTATCAGAAGAATCATCAGAACTAAAAAAAAAACTCATCTGGAATCTTCAAAGGGCTTGTTATCTTCTTCATCTGAAGGTCTTTCCTGCAATAAATAACTCCATTTCTCTTCAAAACTAATTTTTCACAACAAATAAGTAACCAAAATAATGAAAACAATGCGTGTAATTGCTACCAAAACTAGCACAGAATGTGTAACAATGAATACAACTGTATCTATCAAAATATGCCTAATCTTAATTGTTTCAGATTCTAAGAACAGACACGCTTCTGAGTATCAGGGTATTGTTCACATGGTCTTTCTTGTAAAGATATGTGCAAAGGCCGCGAGAATCAAAAGCTGTATCTCTGAATAATCCTGTTAATAATTAAGTTTTTTCAAAGTAATCTCATCTCTACCCTATCCACGAAAGACTTGGCATGAGAGGATCACTATGCAACAGCACTAAGAAATTCTGCGAACTCCGTGTGACGCCTTTGGGTGCATGGGGTCTGGCATTCCCATGCGTTGCACGTGATCAGAAAGAAGCTGCATGACCTATCGCCCTCTGGTTTATCTTGTAGTAACCTTGCCATTGGATGCAGCATTGTTCAACACAGGATGACACCAGATCTCATCATCTTACACCTACCACTCGGTGATATATTGAGTTCTTAAAATGCAATGGGTCTACTAGATCCATGCATGCCTAACAAAGGGTTAAATTTATGCTAGGTTCTGTGCTTCACTCATATTTATCTTTTAGCCTCATGATTTATCCTGATTTTTTTCTTATTTTACATTTTGGCAATTAAATTTCAAGAAGTTGTCAAGCTATATTACTGAAATCTTCATAATTTTTATCAACATCCTGATTCCTTGATTGATAATTCAGTAAGTATGCAGTTGATGAAGATGTTCATTGAATTATCTTTTAATATCATCATAATTTGCTGCAAAGGAATTATGTCTTTCAAATTTTGGTCTCCCAGACATTGGTTGATTATCACAATTCCATCCAAGGTAATGGTAATAAGCACTGGTCACTTCTGCCAATGTGTGGTCTTATGATTGGGGGAGTAATAAGATAAGTGTCATTTGTTAAGATTAAATCTACAATTGCAGGGGTTTGGTTACCTTCATATTTTACGGGTTCAAGTACTGTAGGGATGTAGTTTGAATTAACATAGTATTGTAAGAATTGTTTCTCTACTTCTTTACCCGGAGAAACTCTGTGATGAGTCCAGGAGATTGATGGGAGAATAAAATCATATGTGTGTGTATATAATAAATATATGAGGACCACCTCCATGCTTGTTTAGTCTCATAACGGAAGATAGCGTATCCAGGGACAATGATCATAGTCAGGAATATCTGGCTACTGCCAAGATTCTCTGCTGATTATATCAGGTTGAATATCATCATCTTTTAATGAAAATTTATCAACCTTTAGGATGAGAAATCAAATATTAGTGTACATAATTGTTGCGTATAGTTCAACTATGCTCGGTGCTACTTTTGTTCATTTCCTTGCCGGTGCACAATCTGGAAGGTTTCTTGTAATATAATCTAGTAACTTAAGTTGGGAATGGATTTCTATCCATCCATTTTGCTTTGAGTCTTTCAACTCTTTTTTTCTGTAAAGGAATTTGATCATTGTTTGCTCTCAGTCTTTGGAGCAACTTTCCACTACACCTCAAAATATCTTTGGCAATATTTGCAACTTTCTTAACAATCTTGATTGGTCGGGGATTTTTGAGATTGCCTTACACAAATTTACTAGCTTGATAATTTGTAAGGTTGATTTATATGATTGTCTCTATCAAATTCATCAGGCTTGAATTTGGACAGTGTGACTCCAACTGTGTCTCTGTCATGAATACTCTGTTCCTATGCCTCTAGAATTCACTTCTTTGACTCCATATATAATAACATCTACCTTACGCAGGTTATGTTCTTCAACCTCTCTCATTATTCCAGTCGTTGAAGAATTTTGTATAGAATCAATCTTCTTGATAATATCTTTAATGGTTTATAGCATTGTGCGAAGTCTCTGTTTTATCACATTTTGCCTCTAATTGTGTATGTTCATTCTTCCATGCTCGCACTTATATTCGTAAATTATTGTTATATATTACATATTGCTAAGAAAATGGACTTCTCAAACACTTGTGATCAATTATTGTTGACAAAATTAATATTATTATTATCTTTATCATTTTCTTACATACAAATATTGAATTTCTTTTTCATGACTATTTGTAACGTAGATATTAATTATTAGTTCTAGCGGTGCTGAAATGTTGCTACTTGTGCAGAACATCATGGATCTTCCAACAAATTCTGGATTACAACAAAGAAACAGTTTCTACTTGTTTCTTCGATTGTTGGGTGTTTTCTTGTCAAAAAATCCATCTCAGAGACCCAATATTGAAGGTCGGATATTCTCAAAATTTTCCCAGACAAAAATGCAATCCCTTAAAGAAATGGGTATTTTTAACTTTGGCATTCTTTGTTTGTGTATGGCAGTGTCTGGGCATGCTAAGGAAGTAGTAAGTGCAATTTAGTAAATTTGTTAATAATTGGTGTTACTGAGTAAATTGAATCCATGAACAAATTATGTTCCTGTGAAATTTGTCCTTACAGGGTGACAAAATGCAGTATCTTTTAAATTGGTGTAATCCTCAGTCTGTCGATTTGTGTCGACATCTTATGATATGGAGAGCACAATTAGCACTCTTGCAACTGTATATAGAAAAAGGTATTTAGTACCTTTTCATTGATATCTTTTTGATGTCATACTAATAAGGTAAAGTGATTTGAAATTTGTTTTTGCAGAAATGGATATAACTGAGGCTTCAGCCCTTTTGATGGAAGATGTGAATCATGTAAGCAGATCCAGAAGTAATGATTCAGTTTCATTGTTCAATTTGCTAGCTAGAGGTTTGAAAGATATAATTACCACGAGCAAAAATCTGGATTACTCAGAACACATACTTATAGGTATATGTAAAGTATTTTGAAATAATATACTTTAACTAATTCCCTGTCTCTTTATTTATCACAAATATCTATTATAAAGCCTTATGTGCCGCACACTTCTGTTTTGCCCTGCCTTGATCCCTCTCCTCCTCTCTCCGATTCCCCTCCTTCCTCATCCTGCTACTCCACCCTTCACCTCCTGTGCTCCTACCTTCTCCTTATCCTCTCTTTCACCTCCCCATTCCCCTCTCCCTGCTTCCTCCTTATACTCCTGTCCACCTTCTTTCTCTTCCTCCTCTTTCTTCTGCTCCCTTTCTCCTCTACCTTCCTCTTTCTTCCTCATCCGCGCACTTTGCATGTTTAGTTAAACTGGTGTCATCTGGTATATGATCCTTGTTATATGCTTACTTTCACGGGTTGAGCAGACATATTTTGGGAAAATAATTCTAGAGAAGCTTTCCCTTTTTATTGATACATAAAGTAAAAAATTAACCAGAACACAAGAAAGAAAGAAAAAAAAGAAAAAAAAAATCAATTCAGATATTGATTTCACAGAATAGGATGTTTCAGTGGGAGTGCCAGGGCTGTAGCATAAATTCTTCATTATCTCTATATTGATGCAATAAAAATGTAATAAAAACTACCAATTGCTCAAGACATTAACTGAGGAAATAATTTTCTATTAATTGCATACTGTTCATGAGTTTGAAATTGTCATTCAAAATTAAGTTACTAGCTTCACAAATGACTCGGTGCCTTACTTGTTGGGGCTTTTAAAGGGGAAAAAATCCTATGAATAGCAAAATAATTATGTAAGAGGTATCAATATAGCAGAAAGCACATTTTAAATATGTAGGCAGCAATTTCAGTTGAGAGAGATAATTATGAAAATTAAAAACATGTGGGACAACCTTAGTAACTCAGAAAGTAAAAGTAAGAAAAGATATCCTTTTCACATATTGTACTGTAACTAAGATTTTTTTTTTAGGAATGTGAAATGTAGATTTTCAGACACTGAAGGGACATAGGCTCTGAAAATATGACTACTCTCCAAGTTAAAAATATCACTTCTGAATGGTTTCAAAAGTGTACACCCCATTTCTCCAATTGGAAATGCTAGTAATGGGGAAAAATGAAATTTGAATCCCAATGGCTTCCTGTAGAGAATACAAGAGGGAAAAATTCTTTCAATATCATCGCAATGGAAAGAGATCTAGAAATGTTAGAATAAAAAGTAGGTTGAGGAAGGTTGAAAACTAAACCAAACAGAAGAGATGCGAAAGGATTTCAATTCTTGTTTATTCTAAATTTTCAGTAGAGCTTAATTTTTCATTGTTTTCAAAGTAATGTTTCATCTCTACTTATTGGGTCAGCTGTTACTTAGCCACAGATGATAGAATGGTCTCACGCTGCGAGGAGATGCCATTAATGATTTTAGTATACTAGAAATCAGTCTTATGTTATTGTAATTTATTTGTGCCTTCATGGATTTTATATAGCAAGTAATTTTTTTAATATATCAAACTAAATTTTTGTATATACTTAACTCACATTATATTAAGTTTATTTCGGGGGGAGAAAAATTGTATTCAAAAACATAGATTATAACTTTCTGGCGTTTGAGTTCACAATAATCAGTTGATGGCATATTGAATAGCACGTTGAAATATTTCTTTTTACTTTCCCGTATAGAGAGTAATGTAGTATAGGGAATGTTATAAAATGTGGAAAATCGATTTTGAGATTTCAATGGAAATATGTTTTGGAATCCCCTCATACTGAAAAATGTGTGTTTTTTCTCCTTGAAAACATTCATCTGGGAACACCACTAGTACCTAAACCATATGTAGGATTTTTTTTCAAAATGGATATTCCCTGTAATCTCTGACTTGACTGACTTGCTGTGATTTTGAAAAACTTTCTTCAAAATTTGGGGGTACTTTACATTAACCTCCCTAGACATTTTCAAAATTTTCTCAGAAACTGCTTACAAAGGTGCCACAGGTCTGATTTTCGGGGTTAACTATAAATTTTCGGAAATTCTGACATTTTTCAGGCGTCTTCCTACAACTACAAAATTAAAGATAGAGATTTTTCCTTCAGATAACATTTGTTCTCCATAGTGAGTTCTTTCATGAAGGTCTTGTGCGTGTTTTTGAAAATTTTAGTAGTTTTTGCACAATATTGTGAGCAATATGTGCAATTTTAAAAAATTACAAAAACAAGATTTTCTCAAAAATGGCTCAAAATTTTTTCTTCAAAATTTACAGATGGATAGTGCTAATTGCACTCTTAAATATCACGTTCAAATATCACAATCAAAGTTTATTTCAGGGTGTTTTTAATTAAATAAAATTTGTTTTAAAAGATCTTTCACAGCATTAATTGCACATTTCTAGCAATGTGTAAACATTGTTGTATTTGTGAGTTAATGTGCTTCAAATGTCTTCTAATGAGGTTTTTTTTCGAAAACTCAAAATTGTTCTGTGAAGAAGCTTCAAATTTCAAACTTACAGCAGCACTTAAGCGCCATTTCCATAAAAAACTTCTCCAAATTTTTCTAAGAAAATTGCCATTTATGATGAGGTTTTACTGTTCTTTTATATTCTTAATATAATATTTCCATTCTACTATTAGATTATTGGAAAATAAAGAAAATATTTTAAAAAATGTACTTTGGGCGGCGATAGATGGCAGCTTGCAAAAGTATGTGTCAAGTTCTTATAGCTAGCCAAAGGCAAAGAAAATAAAAAACTAATGCGGGAAAGTCTGTGCCATTCTGTTGCGCCACTATTATTGACCACGTTTATTGACTTGTAATTCAAATCCATTGAAGTACTTCTATTTGATTACACACTTTTTAATATATTTTATTGTGATGGATTAAAATAAAAATTGTTAATTATTAATATTAGTCTCAATTAGCCTGTAAACCAATATTTTTATAAATTTTTGTGTTTTATTTGTGTGTGCTGCTTTATCATAACATTCTGTAATATATTTTCTTTAGGAAGTTGGATTAGTTCATACATGAGAATGACTGCAGATCCTGTACTTCTTATTGACACACTTTTGGAAATAATGAAAAAAATCCTTACTTTGTCCAAAAATGTTGGTATGATAGAGTATGATGCTCCAAACACTCACCTCTCCAAAATGTATTTAGCATTGTGCAAACATCTCCTTCCATATATTAAAGAGAAGTTCGCAAATTCAGATACAAACTTTCCAAGTTGCCAGGTAACAGTAATGATCAGCTTATTCCTTATCAAGTTGTTGCTTTGTATATTTCTTAAAAATAACTTATTCTTTTTGTCAAAGGTGGCAGATTTAGCTGTGAAAATGACTCTTTTGGCATTAAATAGAACAAATGTGGGAGTTGCTGGGACGTCAGTTCCTCATCTGTTTGAAAGTTTTACTGTAAATGCTCATCCTTTAAATTCAGATTTAAGCATCAAATATGTGTGTGTTTTATTGCAAGAGGAAGGGATTCTTTCAGAACTTATGGACACCTATATTAATTATGAAGTATTAATAATACAAACATGGATAAGGTAAATACAAAATGAGTGTTTTCTTCATTTTTATCACATTTGCCAGTTTTTAAAAATCATATTTGTTTCCAGGAGTTCTGTTTATGTGTTTGAAGAGAATTCACAACACAAATTATCTAAATTAACAAACATTGTGTGGCAGATGCCTTCTTTTCGTGCTCTGTGTCAAGAAGCATCCATAGATATAAAAGGTCTTGCCAAACCTGGGGATATGTTTATCCTTGGATTGGGTAGAGTGTTTTTGAAGAAAGTAACCCTAGAAGAACGAACTCAGTTCCGAGAACAATGTTTACTGTATTTAACGCCTGTAGTGAAGAGTTTTGAAAGACTGCTCCGAAATAAAGGAGTAAATCAAAACATTTTATGTAGAATATACGAAGTTGCCTCTCTTTTAATACTGCACTGTGGAACTATTATATATTCTAAGGTAGGAATATAATATGCCAGTTTTAAAATACCTAAACTTTCATGATTAATTTTACTTTTGTACTCAGATTTGTGACATGGGCTTTCAGGAAGCAAATAATCTTCCTGTTACAGTTCAAAGTATTAAATTCGTATTGTCTTAATTGTTTTATTAATAAATTATATTTTATTCCCTTCATTCGCTTCCCTTCATTCAATTTTTTTTTCTGTTTCAGTCTCAGCCTTATTGCATTTTCAATTCATTGATAAACTCTCTTTTATTACCAGTGGCTTTATTCAAGCCTGGAGCAGAAATGCCATCGTCTATGCTATATGCAGTACGACGGACGTTTCCTGTTTTTGTTAAGGGTATAGTGAAACTTAATGGTGCTTCAGGAAATTCATTAATATCCACTATTAAAAATCTAGTGGTTAGATATTTTCCTCGTTTAGTAGGGAAGGTATCTGTAACTTCTCAAGAGTGCAAAAGCGAAGCACCTCTTGGACACTCTCTATTATTATGTTTTGATGACTCTGATAAAGATGTACCTGAATGTGTATTAGAGATAATTTCACAGACCTTCTTGAAGGTTGGAGATCCACAGTGTGTAAATGTAAGATTTTTTCTGATTAAGATATGTAGTTTATTTTAAAATATTCATGGGTACTATAAACTGTTCATTTAATTTTTCCCCAGACTCTAATGTTCCTTCTGGAATTATTGCAAGCAAAGAATTTTAATAAGAGAATTGTGGAAATGTTCATTAACATGTCATTGGCTCGTATATTAGAAATAATAATCTTAAGTGATTCAAGCATGCTTAGTGCAAGAAGACAGGCAGTTCACCTTTTAAACGAAATTTTACTTAATAAAATAAATGACAGTCCATGTTTGAGGTAAACTTTATGCTGTATTTTCCTTGTTTTGCTATTTTCTTTAGATTGTATTATCATGATTATTATTTCAAATTGTTCTTAATTAAGTCTTATAATTTCATTTAAATAAACTTTCCATATTAAAAAATGTTTTAGAATTATAATTTTTCTTTTAACGTAATTTTCATGTTTGTGATATAAAAAATTAGAAAAAGCAGTAGATCTAGAAAGAAAAAATCTTTACAATTCTCAACAAAATAAGTAAAACGAAAATACAATTAGTATTATATAGTTAACATACATATATTAATTTTGTAATGCAAAGTATATTTCTCCAACTAATATCTCTCAAGATAACATTTTATTTTTTAGGCAAAGTTTCTGGTCTGTTCTTTGGGCTCTCATTGAGCGACATATGGTTTTACATTCAGTGAACATCATGTCCTTGCTAAGTAAAATATGTAAGGTTTCTCCCATTATGATAACTGATGGATTACCACAGATAAAAGATATGATAAAATCACCAGAATTGTTCCATCGATCTAATGTGGCAAAAAATGTGAGGTAAATTTCTAAAATACTTAGTATACAATGTTTGGAATAGATTGAGATGAAAATAAGATAGTTTTGCACAAATGAATTATTACACACCTTGTGATATTTTCAGGTTTGGAGTGGAAAATATTGAAAAGTTGTTGAGTTTGTCAAAGCAGAATGAACAATCATGAATTTACCTAAGACTTTTGAAGAAAGTCTTATTAAAAAAACTTTCTGAGAGAGAAGAAAATGACTTTGAAACATGTTGTGAAATTTGTTTTTTATGTAATAGAACATATTCAGTCCAATCATGTTCTTTGTATAGTTGTATTTGAAATTATATATTTGTATATTGTGTATGAAATAACTTTATTATATAAGTATTTTTATTTTTGTTTGTTCAGTGAAGTATCTTTTAAGTGTCATCTGAATATATTTTGTAAATTCACTAATTCAGAAGGAAAAGGGAAATAAAATTAAAATTGTACCTGTTGTTTCATTACAACAAAATACTCTCCAGGTTTTATCAGTTTATTGAACAAGAAGTCCACCTCACATTCTACTGGTACCAGTTTTTCCTCATCCACTTGACCTTGGAGCTGTCCTTGAAAGCCGTTGACCAAGAATGAACTGTAATGTTACAATTTTTGTTTTTGTTTTGTGTAAATGTAGATATTATATTGGAAAGTTCTGAAAACTAAAAGAAAAAAATATATATATTTTGAAAATTAGAGTAAATTTATTTATGTCATTAAAACAATAATAGATTGGTCATATAAAAAAAGTTGTTTTATGTGTAATGTATGTTACAAATGAGTCTTTTGAGTGTTGTCAATATAAAATTTTTTTAAAATATAAGATTTATTATCATTTGTTCTTAATATTTCAGTTTGTTATATTATAAAAGTTGAACATCATGTTTCCTATAATTATATTTATGGTATGTTAATTAAAATTCCTATATTGTATAAGTGTAAATCATATGATAGTATCAAAAATATTCTCAGAATCATCATTATTCGCCAACATTCACAGCTGTTTAACTAGACACATTCCTGGATTGACTGAATAAGAGTAAAAAGAAAGAAAGGTCATTCACTGCCTTTCATACATGACTACCTTTTGTTTAGAAGTATTGAACACCTTGTTTTCAAAGAGATTGTTGCTTCTGAATTGGTAGTTTTTATTGATGGTGTAATGTGGTTCAGTAATACCATACTGTATTGGGTGTTTTTTTATTTTCTTATTTCTGCCTTTGGTAAAGCAAAATATTAACATTAGGCCACTTTTAATCTGGTATCTGAATTGTTGGAGAATGATGTTGCTTCATGGTTGTACATATTTAAATGATGTTATATCTTTCCCAGTGGTTCAAGAATGCAGTACTGTAGACTTGGTGTATTGTTCCAACAGTGCAAATTGTCTTCCACTTTCTTACTGTACTACACTTAAGCTTAGCTCAGAACTCCAGTATTGTAGATGGGGTGGTGGAGAATCTTTTATATGTTGCCCTAAAATTCATACATTTTCAGGTAATAATTCTTAACTTGATATGCTACTGCAGAATACTTCTAAAATGTAGCTGTCATTTTATGAGCTTATTTCAGAATGTGGAGTATTGTCATCCTCTTTTGAACACGACATGTTAGCAGCTGTAGTAGGTGGTTTTTCAGTCAGAACTGCAAAATCTGCTCCATGGATGGTAAACTAATTATAATTGCATTGTGAGGTTTCAATTAGTTCATTGTGTAACAATAAATGTAAAAGGTTGCAGTGGGAGAACAACTGAATCCTTTACAACTGGAATGGTTCTGTGGTGGCAGTCTAGTATCAAAAAACAGAGTTCTTACAGCAGCACATTGTGCTGAGCGTAGGTCAGAATTTTTTCAAAAGATATGTCACAAAATAATGTAAGAAATGTTCTGAAAATAATTTTTTTCAGGCGAGCTGATATTGTTCGAGTAGGGGAACTTGATTTCCTCAGTTCTGATGACAGTGCCTTCCCCCAAGATGTATCTGTTGTTGGTGTTGTTAAACATCCTCAATATAAGGCTCCAAGTTTTTATTTTGATATTGCAATTTTGAAATTAAAAAATGATGTGACATTTAATGATTATGTGAAACCAATATGCCTACCAATGTCGAATAGTAAGGAAAATTATGAAGGAACAATTGCTATGGTAACTGGATGGGGACGAGTTTTGGGTTAGTATACCGATTCAATAACACTCTTTATAATAAATACTGTAGTTGCATTATCAAAAATGAAGGTGCTTTGTAGGTGGTAAAAGGAGATCAACCCTACAGGCTGTTCAAGTAACAATTGTCAATAACAACAATTGTTCAGAATTGTATATGAGGCCTGATGTTAAGCATTTCCATTATCCCAATGGAATCATTAGTTCCCAATTATGTGCAGGACATTCTAATGGAGGTAGAGATGCATGTCAGGTAAAATATTTAAGAAATTGAATGGAAAATAATTAGGATACGAAAAATTTGAGTTTTTTTTAGTAATTGATGTACTCATTTTGTTGTAGGGGGACTCTGGAGGACCTCTTGTAATAGTGGAAAGTGGTATTCACATATTGATTGGTATAATTTCTTCAGGAGCTGGATGTGGTTCGAAAACATTTCCTGGAGTTTATACACGTGTTTCATCTTTTTTAGAATGGATTAGAGCAAATCTCTAAATTTTAAAACTACGTAAATTAAATGCAGTTACCTTGCTTTTTCTTTTCCAACTTTATTAGAAATACATTACGATGTAGTCATCTCTAATTTAAATACCAAAACAGAAACATGTTTGATATGGCATTGCTAACAAGTTTATGTGCATTTCAAGAACTAATAGTGAATCATGGTACAGGATGTTTGTAGTACATGACTTTGTTTTATGTTGTTGAATTGTATTAAAACGAAGAAAAAATATTAAAAATTGCCAATTTGAGCTATACTGAGTAATTTTTTTAAACACTATATCCAATATGAAAGTAAATTTCGATCGTTTAGTTTTCGTTACGTTTATTGTCAGGCACCACAAGAAGAAAAAAAAATCACTTAAGATCAATGCCGTTAACAGAATTGACATCTGTACAGTGTAAATACACAGTAATGTCTTGGAAATATTAAATTATTTTCGCCAATAAGGTCGGCGGTTGGACTCGTCCCTAGCTGATCCAGCTCGTTTCCTGAAGGTCGTGCAAGAACAGTAAGCCTACGTGAAGCTAAATTTCAACGTGAGTAAATACGTTCTATAGATTTCGTCAATATACGTAACATTTACTGAGTTCTGTAATTAAATGTTTAGAAACTGGGGTTACGTGGAAGTAAAAAACGTAAAGATGTAGGTTTGGTAGAACAGGTTGTGTATCCAGCAGTTACCATTTAATATTCATTTCGCATATAAGACGGCAACGACCCGACGTTATTCTCACCACCGACTGACAGACAAGTACCTGTGTGTCGGAACTCTGGATCAGCGAAGTGTTTTAGATACTGATCTGTCTTTGTTTTAGCGCTAGGGAGCCTAGCGTCATGCCCACACCAGCAATTAAAGTGTTGGCGCTTGCTTCAAACGTACGGCGAAGATGTTACCGTATCACTTGCTACTCTTCAAGAGGTATTACAAACAACGTTGCGAACGAAGAAGTGATTGCTAAACCTTTACAATCTGCTCGGCCATTCAAGGAGATACCTGGACCGACGTCATTTCCTTTAATAGGGACATTACTGAATTATCTTCCCGTTTTGGGTAAGGGTGAACAAACCTCATTGTCCGTACGAACATGTGTTTTACAATACTCTAAGGCACATTTCATTAAGTGAGAATTTGTATGATTTTTCCTTATAGAGGTGGTGGCTCTTTTATTTGGAAGACCTGTATTAAATATAATGTATTTCCTTAGGTAAATATGACTTTGATAGATTACATAGGAATGGTATGCTTAAATTACAAGAATTTGGTCCTTTAGTTCGAGAAGAGATTGTACCAGGAACCAATATTGTTTGGGTATTTACTCCACAGGATATAGAAACAGTATTTCGTTGTGAGGGTCGATACCCATTTCGTCGAAGTCATTTAGCTGTAGATAAATACAGAAAAGATCGACCAGATTTATACAACTCGGGAGGCCTTTTACCTACGTAAGAATCTATGTGTAAATTACTTTGAAATTAATTTTCATTATTGATACATGTTCTAAGATATTTTATTTCTTTTTTGGTACCAAAATACTACTTAGTATAACTATTTTTCAGAAATGGTGATAAATGGTATGAACTTCGAAGTACATTTCAAAAAGCTTTAAGTCGGCCCCAAAATATAAGGTTGTATGTGCAAGGATCTGATCATATTCTACAACAATTTATGGATGTAATAAAATCTAGAGGGAATTTATCGACAGAGGATTTTGTTCCTTATCTGTCTCATGTATTTCTAGAATGTGAGTTTAGTTGCATTACTACAGATTATGTATACTAAATTTCAATTATTACTCTTAACGTGATTTTATGGAGCACTTGAAATTGTATACAAATATATTTATAGTGAAAGTATTTGTATTATTCTGTTCTTTACATTAACAAGGATGATGGAAATTTCATAAGATGTTGTGTTGTAGTGGTTGGCCTTGTCGCATTTGATGCTGAGTTGGAAGGATTAACAGAAGCAGGTTTGCAACCAGACTCTTTGGCATCACAATTGATAGATGCTGCTGAGACAGCAAATGGATGCATTGTAGCTTTAGATAATAGTCTTCAGTTATGGCGATGGATTGAAACTCCATTATACAAAAAACTGAAAAGATCACATGAAATTATGGAGAGGTGTGTTTCTTCATTATGTCTACCAGGTTGAAAAGAACTATGTGCATTGTTTTTATCCTCTGTAATAAATGGCAATCAAGGTTTTAATACCATTTAAATGATTTTATATTCTTAATATTTTAATCTTTCTCATGCCATATCTTGCTTTAATTGAACTCAAAATGTGTAACAGAAAACATGATTACAGAGTTGCTGTCACTCTTGTCAATCGTAAAAAGTCTCTTATCGAATCTCAAAGATTGACCGAAAATAAACAGCCATCTTTACTTGAAATATACCTCTCAGATCCTAAAATATCGGTGAAAGATATAGTAGGAATGGCAGTAGATATGATTCTTGCTGGAATGGATACAGTAAGTATAAGCCATTTTAATTTTTTTTTAAATTAATAATAATAATAATAAAGTGGTGACTTTTACGTATTTAATATTTTCACCATCGTCTACAAGTTCTTGGAAGACATGTACTATCCCTTTAAATAAGATGCACAACAAAGCAGGTTTTTAATAACAAGAGCAGATGCATATATATTGCAAGTGATTGGAATTTTGAGAAATAGTGAAGGGAACCATGTGAATAGTTGAAAATTTATAAGCTTCTCTTTTTACTTCAGGAATGCATGTTGGTTGGAATTACTGCATCGACTAGAGGATCAATGATTGGATTTTGATAAAAATTCGCGTTCTGGGGGTCCCTATCAAAAGCAGTTAAAAAATTTTACTGTCAGTCTGTGAACAACTCTGGGGCCTAAACCAAACTGGATTTTTCTCCAGTCAACATGGCCAAACATAAGGCTCTCTAAATTTGAAACCTTTAAATTTTAGGAGGTACTTCATGCCACACAGAACACTTTTAAAATTTTCTCACAAATAACTCCAAATGTTTTCTTTAAATTGTTAACAGAGTGCTTATAAATATGGTAATAGTCCAATTTTCATTCAAATTTTTGAAAATCACACATGTGAATGTCATGTGCTTCTTTGTCTGAAGAATAAGTAGGGTTGAAGATGCAGTATTTTTATGTACTAATATCACTAATTTATTGTGTTTAAATTATCATGAGTAGGCCTATTCAAAATTTGAGTACTTGCTGTCATTGAATTTACAAGAGTTTGAAACTCCACCTCAGTACTAATTCAATGACAGAAAGTGGCAAATTTTGAATATATGATAGATAATTTATTACATAAAATAGAGAAATTGGTATTTCATTCTTATCAATTAATATTTCGTTCATAATCCAAAACACTTTTTGCATTTCTCCTTCAACTTTCCCTCATTCCCATCTATTCTTCTCCCTGTCCTCCGCAGCTCGAAAATTCGAAGTTTCCAACACTTCCTCCTCAAGAAGAGTTTCAAATTAGTTGAATATGCTCTAAACCAGTGACTCTCATACAAAGTTTGTGTTTGACTCTACTTAAACGTTTTGTCATAAAATCAGCAACTTGTTTATTTCACAATACATGTTTTAACCTAAACGTTTTTCTCTGTAACATATCGCGAACAAAAGATGGCGTAAATAAATGTTTAATGCTGCTGTAATACATAGAATTATTGGCCAAATTGAGGCACTCGGTCACAGAAAATAACTAAACTGGTCAAACACTCAATACCTAACTCTTGTACTAGTCGCGCGACTTTTCTCGACGTCTCGCAGCGCGGGGTGAGGGGAGAAGAGGCTAGCGACTGTCTATATGCTGTAAATATAAACATAGCTAACTGTAGCGTCAATAATATTATTTGCGCATCTTTCGCTCTTAATCAGCAGGATATTGTAGATGATAAAATAGACCAAAAGCCGAGTGGGACGCAAAATATCTTCGCAAAAAATAGTAAATAAATCACGGCAGAGCAAAGAATGGCAAACGCAAGAACGGAATTCATGAGAGCAGCGGTAGGCAATCGTGGTAATCTTGTCATACCGTTCCGTGTAAGATTAAGGTTTGGACCAGACCGTGCCGAGTGTGTGTTGAGCGCTAGAGAGCTGAGACGTCAAGAAAAGTCGCGCGACTAGTAGGAACTTCTGCAAGTATTCAACTTCTCTGGCACAGTCTTACAAGGCCATATACTCGATCTCCATTGTATTTAAGGCCATTGTTCTTTGTTTACGATATTCCCAAGATATGGGGCATCCACCTAGCAAGAACAAATAGCCGGTGTAAGATCTTCAGTCTGCGCCGACGAACCGAACAACAAGATTCAGCGTCATCTTCGTAAACGAGTCCAACATTATTGTGCCCTATAAGTAGCTTAGTGCTCGCTCCGCTGCCCTAGATAAGATTATTGACTTGCCCTAGATAAGATGCCGCGAAAGATGTTTCGACGAGTAGTTGTCGACAACCAGGTAAGCGCATCCGCCAGTTCACGATTGGGGAAGCGCAGCTCTTCTTTGTTCGTGTTTTGGTCATGTTGTTACCGGAATCCAAAGGAGTAACTACTGGAGTAGAGCTACTCATACCGAAACGTTGCATGCCATGCAACGATGGCGCGCCCTCGCTGGCGCGTAGCCAACAAACCCTCGTTTTGAATAAGCTCGCTTCTCAAATAGTGTTCTTCTGGTCCAGTCTTTGACCTCAAAATGTCTGCTCAGGACCTTTCCAAGTTCGGAGATCGTCTTCTAGTTCCTGGAGGTGACCAATATATTATCAACATAGCCATCATATTCAAATCTTCTGAACCCATCCGAAACAAATACGAATTCGATGCTGTCTGCTTGGCGCCGGAAACCTTGAAGGTTTCAATCAGCTTTATGTACTTGAACTTTCTTATTCTCTATTCGGATGACTTATTGCACTGTTTGCCTCGAATACCTTCGCTTTGGATTGGATACACTTTATCTCACACTAGTGAGAGTAGTCTATAAATTATTCGAAGTACCTTGCACTGTACAGTGGTCGAGTTGGGTTTAAACTACCGGGTGATCTGTTTACAACGTATCCCTGCTGTTCGAAGCTCTGAGAGAAAATTGAAAGAATTTTAACACTGCTTTTGGCACAGCTATTTTGGTTGAATTTTTATGACAGTCCTTTCACTCACCACCCCCCTCACTTTCACCCCACCCCCTTCTTTCCTGTGATCTGCATCATACCTTCTCAAAGCAAAATAGGCTGCGTCTTCATTCAGTTTTGAAGTTAATTTACAATGCGCCTCAGCGTAGAGCAACGCAGACTTTTGGCGGAGTTTTTCTAAACGCAGTTCTTCAAATAGTGCCAGGCAGCTTCCAAAGAAAAAAATCATCTGAGTCTGTTGCGAACAAGAATACCACATTTCGGGCAGTGAAATGCTATCGCGAGACAGTGCGGTTGATCGGAAACGCAATTGCCTAATTACAATGTTCGCGCAACGAAAACTAGAGGACATTCGTGATGTTCTTTCACCTTACCCTTGAAAATCATTAAGGAAGCTTTAGCGGCAATGTAATATTTGGTCTGGAAAGGTGCCCTGCGGCAAAAAAACACAATGACAAAAACACAATGTGCGCATTCAAACAGGAGCTTAAGGCTTCTGATCGGGCTGCTCGCTTGAATTACTGTAATTGGCTACCGACGATTTGGTAGCGAAGGTCTTGAGGCGCTTGATAAAGTGTTTTTTTTAGTGACGAGGCTTGGTTTCTTCTGGATGGATATGTTAACCCACAAAACAGTAGACTCTGGAATACCGAGGAAACCACAGGAATCAGTAAACATTTCCATGAAAAATAATTTTTAAAAAAAACACAGAATAATTGGTCCGTTAGTTTTTAATGAAGCAGAAAGACCAGATAGGTATCGGAATATATTCGACATCACATACTGCCGGAGTTGGGCAAAATACTTGAAAAAAAATATTTCAGAACCAAAATTCAAAATGCTTTGTAGATGCTTTTAGATTCCAAATACAAAATACTTCCTTAAAGGCATTTTAGATACAAAATAGTATTTTAAAATTCCTTTGAAAATACAAAATACAACCAATAGAGATCCAGTTTCACAATTTATTTCTCGAAACTTGGTTGTGGTTTACAATTGTATACAATTGGAT